TTAGCTAGTATTTTTAAATTATCATCTATTTTTATAAATGTAATTGTAGCGCTAATATATTATCAATTGTTTTTAATGCCATATTAAATCTACGAATTGTAATGATTCGCAGTCTTGTAAAATAGTAAACTACTTTATTCAGTAATTCAGTTCCTATTGGTATATCTATTTGTATATATGTTTCAAGAGCTATCTAAAAATATATAGCAATAATAGCTGTTTTATTAAAAAAAACCCACCATCTATTTATTTACTATTCTGGTCGTATTCTTCTATACTGTTTAATCAATCTTGACCACATACTAGTATTTCAACCGTCTCTGAAGTAAGGTTTGAATGATATTCATCAATAATTCTTCCAGCTGTACTGAACGCCTAATAATAAAGTACAGGTTAGTTTTATCCTTAAAAAAAATTAATAATATACTTGTAAATTATTAACCAATTCAGAAGCCACTGATGTTACTGGAATCGAAAGAATATCTCTTGCTATTGATGATACTGAAGGATATTTTTGTGCGTTTGCACTTCACCAAGCTAGAATATCAAATTGCTCTGGATGTGAATAGGAAAAAGTGGATCGTTAAGATACTGTTCAAACTCAGTTATCTTATTTTGATAATTATTGGTCTTAAGAAAAGAATCAAATTTGTCTATTTCTTCATCCTCAAGAATGTCAGAAAAATTTTCTACTGATGTATTATTAGAACAAGCACTATAATGCAAATAGGTTGAATTATAAATCGTTGTAGCTTTCAATTTAATCAAAGTTAACTTTTTCTCAGCTTCGATATATGACAAGTTCATTTTATATTTATATATAAAAGTTAGTAATGATATTTTGTAACGGGGTCCAATATTGATGCAATGCAATATGTATCCCTATGTCTGCCCAGTATTTATTAAATTTCAATTGCATTGGCTCAGACATTTGATAAAGAAAATGATCCGAATTAGTAGAATTGCATTCGAGGTGTATCTTAATTTTTGATAATTGAAAAAGAAAAATATTTGTAGTAGAATAGGTACTTCCTGATATAAGATTAGTAATTTCATAAAATGGTTTTAAGAAATTACAAAAACTTTCTGCCTTTTCCCAATCTTCTTCTAAAGGTATGATTGACTCAAAGCTAATATCCCAAAATAATAGACGTTCGAATGCAATCTTATAAGTGATAGTAGATTTCAACATGATATATGTCAAATTCTATCAGGTGATTACATCAAGAGTCGGTCACTGCCTTGAAATAAGTTCGTTACAGCACCCAACAATAAGATCCTCAAAGTTTTGCTGTCGTCGTTCTGAACTATAAATCCATTTTACACAATTTCTAATCTTGCTAACAATATCTTTAACTATCTTAAGCCCATCAACGACTATTAGATTCAAAATGTGGGCACAACAACGTTGATACAAAAAATTTCTATTTGCAATAAGCATGTCTTGTTCACTAAGCTTACGCCTTATATTAGTTATTGCAGTATCGTTGTTACTTGCATTGTCCAAAGTAATTGCCAATATTCTAGATCCAGTATTCCAATTATTAAAATATTCAAAAAGCATATTACTAATGGTAATTCTCGTATATGGCGCAAGAACAGATTGAAATGCTATAATTAGCTTCCGAAGATTCCAACTATTATCAATAAAATGACACATGATGACTATATATCTGATATTTTGGTTCGATGTCCACATATCTGTTATAAAGCTCAAATTTCCGGGAGCCTCATATATCATTTTATGAACTTTTATCTTAAGGTTTGCAAAAACTTTCATGCAGTCTTCACGAATTGTTTTCTCATTTATTACTCTAAACTTTGGTTGCAAGTTATTAACGAATTTTAAAAATCCTTGATGTTCGACTATGCGAAATAGGTATCCATGCATAACAACCATGTTTGCCAAATCCTAACAGCTTCTTTCTTGAGAAAATTCGTGAGAAACTGGTGATTTTTGTTTATTTGCTTTATTAAGATACTGACTACACTTTGTATTTTTTAGGTGACGAATTAAGGAACTTGTTTCGTTATTGCTATCATATTTTAAAGTATTATTACAATATGCACACTGAGCACAGTTATCTAACAAATTATACATTTGGCATGAATATCCACGAAAACAAATTTAATATACATGTTAATTACACGTTACTTGGCAGTTTGGTAAAGTGTTCCTCTGCAAAAACCCATGATGGAGCCTTGTTTTTTGTTTTTTGATACTAGAAACAGCAGGGATCATTTCAGAATTTTCATCCTCACTAATAGGTTGGTCGATACTTGTGTCTAAAAGAGTTATCTCTGAATTTTCACTCGAACTTTCGCTAGTGGTTAAATCTATATCCATATTTCTTAATAATTTTTTTTTTTTTTAATATATACAGTATATATAGATTTAAATTATTATTTTCGTATGCTTATATTTTCATTTTGGATGAGCAATTAAATCATTTTATTAGTCTAATGACGAAACAAAAATTAAGGCTGAAGATAAAGAAAGAACAGACATTTTGAATTTATCTTTGCGCATGAAAAGAAATATTTTATTAAATACCGAATTGCATCTAATGACTAATTACATATTTAAAGTTGTAATAATTTTACTTAATTAGGAGGTACACAAACCCTATACATTTCATACTGGCTTATTTGATTTTTAAATTTAAACTTGATTATATAATAATCAAAAACTTATTATTTAATATACATAATCAGGTAAAAAAACAGGCATAATTACACAGTTGATATTAATTTTAATCAGAACGTATCAAAAAATAAGTTCTTTTGTATGCAAGCGAAAATGGACCTTATTGTACTACTTGTGCTAATTTCTGCATATGGGCTAATTTGTTTTATTGGACCCTAAATGGAGTAATCTAAACCCCTTATTTGATTTGTTTGTTATTGGTCTAACGAATGATTAGGGTATTATAAGGGAATTAGTACTTATTAGCTGATTATAGCCTCCCCAGAATGACAATTACAAGTTCTAATATAATTAATTGTTTGATAATTATAAGTTGATTACTTTAGAGCTTTGTAATTGTCGAACGATTGATTACTTTAGAACTTGTAATTGTTACTCTGGGGGGCTATAATCAGCTGATAAGCACCAGTTCTCTAAGTAGATACCCATTGTTTAACTATTGTATTAGCGCATACCATGGATTACTTATAAGTGTTCTATGGTTTGTCTCATAAACCAAAAAGACAATTACATTTGCAAGGAAATAACTGAAAACAGTTATATAAGTATGTATATACCTGATATCTGCTCAGAAGAATAACTGAATTTTTGCTTGAAAGTGTCTCGCCTCTTTATTGTTAAACCTTCTACCTCAAATTAGTATAGTTAATTGTTTAATAAGAAGTTTGTCAGATATTATATTATCAAATAACCTGCTCTACTACCAAAAATTTTTGGAGAATGACTCAATTAGCCCATATAGTTGATTTTTTAGTAGCCTATCAAATGGTATCTATTAAATCATACGTCTATGATGCGAATAAAATAATGGGTGCTTTCAAGCAAAAATTCAGTCTTCCCCTGAGCAGATATTGTAGTAGATCAAATATATGTAATTGTCTTCAATTATTTCTCTGCATATGTAATTGTCCTTTTGGTTCATGAGACAAACCATGAAATACTCATGAGTAATCCATGATATGCACTAATACAGTGGTTAGATAATGAATATCTGCTTAGAGGAAGGACCGAATTTTTTGCTTGAAAGCGCCCAATATTAAATGTTTATGGACTTAAATAGCATATTTTAAATACTTAAATTGACAAATATTTTATATTTGCCAACAAATTATCGTAAATTAATAGT